GAGAGCGAGTGGCGAGTAGACAGAGGAGTGGCCTGAGGCGAGGAGTACGTGAAGCCGAAGCGCTGAAGGACCTGCTGCACCATGTGTGACTGAGTCAGGATAATGGTGCGCTGTGCTCTGTCCCGAGTGATCTGCAAGCCAAGGTAGCTGCGCAGTTCACCCAGGTCAGTGCACGTGTGTCTCTTCCGCAGCTCAGACTTCACATGGGCGAGTCCAGCAGTGTCAGCTGTGGCAAAGACCAAGTCGTCGACGAACACGAGGATGTAGAATGGCGGCAAAGAGGTGTCGGTGCGTAGAAACAGCGACGGGTTGGCAGTGGAAGGAGCAAACCCAAGAGCCGCAAGTGTAGTCCTCAGTGTGTCGTGCCACTCACGGGGCGCCTGGCGGAGACCGTAGACTGGCCGCCGGAGGCTCCACTGGGTACCAGGAGGAAACGACCCAGTGAAGCCAGGTGGGCGGCACAGCCAGATCTCCTCGTGCAGGTTGCCCTGCAGGAAAGCAGTGCTCAAGTCAAGAGAGTGAAGCTCGTAGTTGCGCTGAGCGGCTATGTGTAGCAGCACCTGAAGAGTGGTCATCTTCGGGGTGGGAGAGAAGGTTTGAAAGTAGTCATCTCCCTGCCACTGACTAAAGCCTCGAGCCACGTAACGTGCCTTGAAGACAGGCGGAGAACCCGGCGGCCGCTTCACCCTGAAAATCCACATGCCACTGACGATGTTTGCCCCAGGTGGGGGAACCTCGTCGACGTAGGTGCCTGTGGACTTCCATGAAGATATCTCTGCGTCCATGGCTACCTGCCATTGAGAGGAGTAGGGACCCTCTATCGCCTCTGCGTAAGAGCGCGGAATCGGGATGTCTGGTGCATCCGGGTCTCCCTCAGGGGCAATCAGCATGGACACGAGATGAGGTGAAGCAGCAGCAAAACACTAGAACTCCTCCTGCCATTCCTCAAGGACGTCCGTGCCAAGAGCACACTCACCCCAGACAGACGGAGGACATACAGACTCAGACTCAGCAACGAGACTAGCGGCGTAGTCTAGACGACAGTGAGCAGCGAGGTGGACAAGCTCAGTAACTAAGGCAGACGCAGCAGCAGACTCAAAGGAAGGGTCTGTGACAATAGTAGCAAGGAGACACGTGACAGTAGGACTGGCAGCACGAAGGGAGTCCGACTCCGGGTCAGGAAGAGCAGGAAGAGAGGACTCTGGAGGAGACGGCAAAGGGAGATGCAGCGGAGTAGTGGAACGACGCAGAGACATCCGGTGCGTACCGGGGACAGGAGGAGGGCGCTGACGCGAACCACGACCACCAGTGCGAGCAGCACGGACAGGCGACGCAGGACGAGACGCAGGCTCACGACGCTCAGCAAGACCTCCAGTAGGACCAGTGTAGGGAGAAGGAGCAGGGAGAGGGGAGGCGGGCTGTAACTGTGACTCGGACAGGACAGGCGGTGGACACTCTAAGGGAGGAGCAGGACCAGTAGAGGGCGGAAGACCAAGAACCTGCTCAAGGAGCGGAACGAAGTACAGCCGCGGCCGCGCAGCGCCCCCAGAACCAGCAGGAACAGCACCAGCACCCCCAACGGCAGCACAAGCTCCAGTAGCACCCCCAGCTCTAGCCGCGCCAACACCAGCACCCTTAGAAGCACCAGCACCAGCAGCACCTCCAGCGCCAACACCCCCAGCAGCTCCAGCTCCTGCCGGACCACCAGAAGGCGCAGCAGCTCTAGCTCCAGTACCTCTAGCAGCACCGACTCCAGCAGCACTGACAGCTCCAGCACCTCCAGCAGCAGCACCACCACCAGCACCAGCATGCGCGCAGCTCCAGTTGCTCTAGTACGAGCACATCTGGGACCCGTGGCTCCAGAACCCCCAGCAGCAGAAGGACCTCTAGCCGCAGCAGAACCTCCAGCGCCGGAAGCACCACGAGCTCCAGCAGCACAACGCCAGCGCCTAGAAAACCACACGCGCAGCTCTTGCAGCTCCCGCCGGGGCGAAGGACCGGAAGGACCGCCAGGCTCAGCACGACCCGACTCCACACGATTAGGCCCCGCACCCTCAGGCTCCGCACCCCCAGGCTCCGCGCCCCCAGATTCAGCAACCCCAAGCTTAGCACCCCCAGGCTCAGCACCCCCAGGCACAGCACGCTCAGGCTCAGCACCCCTAGACCCGGCACCATTAGGCTCAGCTCCCCTAGCAGCACCAGAGTCACCAGCTACCTCAACAGGCTCTACCGCGTCTACCTAAGACGCACGTGAGGGGGCAGGAACCTGAGGGGGGAAGGGGTCTACCGGGTGGGACCTGGCGTGATGAAGAGCGGCGGCTGGGGAAGGGGAGCAGTGCGGTAGGGGAAGAGACGGAATTAGGGAACCGACTCGTCAAACATGACGTCCTGAGAGGAGAGAACACGGGGCAAGGTGAGGTGGTAAAACTGCCAACCAGGCGCGTTTGGAGGGAAGCCAAGGAAGACGCAGGGAACAGCTCGGGAGGACAGCTTGTCCGCAGACAAGTCGCGGACGAAAGCTCGAGATCCCCAGACACGGAACGCAGATGCATCGCCAACCTTCCCCGTCCACCGCAGAGTAGGGGAGGTCTCCGGCATGGAGACCTGGGGCTGAAGGTTGATCTGATGCGCCGCGTACTGAAGCGCGAACGGCCACAGAAAATGGGGAGCAGCCGCATGGATCATGGACGTACGAGTTGGGCTGGGCCCCACACGTCCATGTGAAGCGTCTGCAGTGGAGCCTCTATCGGAGGAAACTTGGAGGAGTGAGGAGCAGCGCGCTGCCGCCCCTCGACATAGGGAACGCAAGTGGGGGCAGGCCCCGGGGGAAGGGGAGGTAGGGACCTGGGGAGACCAGAGACAAGGACACGGGAGGCCATACCTCGGAGACGAGGCAGGGAGGGGTGACCAAGGCGGTGGTGCCAGAGGAGAGTCTGGTGAGACAGGAGACGGCACGAGCAGGGGGAAGACTCTGGACCAGACCCGGACGCTGCAGCAAACACCTGACCCGACGCATCTACCACACCAGATGCAGCAACTGGAGGAGACTCAGTAGTCAGTGTGTACAGGCTCGACCCCGGCTGACGGGTAAACATGGCCAAGTGTCGGCCCGTCCGAGCACACGTACAGTGGTTCACTCGCTGACTCGAGGGAGTGAACCGGTGAACCCCTCCATCCTGTAGGTGAGCACCACTCACCAAGTTCGTAGAGAATGAGGGGAGGTACAAACCTGACACGGTGCCAGAGGGGGCCGCCGAACACGGTAAGACAGTGGAGAAGTGAGCAAGGGCAGGACCCCAAGAGGGGTCTGCCAGTGAGACTGCAACTAGCCGACTAAGCGGCGTGAGAGTGGTGCGGTCTCGATAGAAGGAGCGGGAAGCACCCGAGTCAAGGGTGAAGGTGTGGAAGGCCTGAGCCGACAAGGAACCTGAGAGAGCAGACTCACCAACACCTGGGGCAGCAGACGCACTAGCACCAGAAGGAGCAGCCTCACCAGCACCTAGAGCAGCAGCCTCACCATCACCTAGAGCAGCAGCCTCACCAGCACCTAGAGCAGTAGCCTCACCAGCACCTGGAGCAGCAGGATCAGGCGGTACACACAGGTAACAGTCACCCTCGTCACTAGTAGACACAGCATACATGGCAGCAAGAATAGCATCATAATCAAGATCAAAGATAGCAACCCCTGACCTAAGCAGCTCTCCCCAGCGAGGGATCTCAGTGGCATGAGGGAACTGGAGATGCCAAGCGTCCGTCAGGCGGCCGAAGCAGCGCTGGGTGGAGTGCGTGCCCCCGCACTGCTCACCAGTGCGGTCGCCAGTACGCAGGACGTAAGTACAGGGACCAGCACCCCCACCCAGCTGACGCGCAGCGTACCACTCACGAAGCTGCTGTGGGGGCGGAGTCTCACGAGCGCGCTGCTGCTCCTGGCGCTGACCACCACCGTAGCCGCCCCGCTGCGCAGAGCCACCCCGACCAGCTCCCCCGCCGCCGCCACCACCTCCGCCACCGCCGCCACCGCCGCCTCCTCCGCTCCCACCGCCACCTCCGCCGCCGCCTCCGCCTCCACCGCCGCCACCGACGCCCCCACCCCCGCCACCACTCCCACCACCACCCCCACCCCCTCCACCGCCTCCTCCGCCACCTCCACCGCCCCCACCAGCTCCTCCACCGCCCTTGCCCCCCTTGCCCTGGCCGGTGCGGCGTCTCCCGCTAGGGGCAGATGCAACGCCGACCGACTCGAGGCCAACGAGGTCGGCCGCAGCAGCAGAGGCAACAGAGGGCAAGAGGGGGGAAGGGGAATACCCCTCAAAGAAGGGGATACGAGGGTCACCACGAGAGGCTCCTACAACGACTATACTCTTCTCAGCTGCCACGAGGCACTCCTCGAGGAGGTCAACGGTGAGTGTGGTGGGGAAAACAAATAGGAAGTGGTCCCTGACCGAGCGAAGGGAGTCAGGGAGCCGGGTGACTATGTAGTAGAGGGTGATGTACATGGAGGGGGGGTTCTTGGCGCAGAACTCAGCAGGAAGCGCAGTGCGGTAGCGGATGTCACTAGTGCGAAGGTGCGTAATGAGGTCAGCGACTGTGGGAAAGGCGGCGAGGTCAGGGAACTGGTATGGCAGCATGAGGCGGCTAAGGGCAGCAGTGGCAGGGGAAGAGTAGCGTGCAACTACAGCGTCGTACAAGGTCTTAGCACTCTTGTACTGACTAAAGTGCGCACGCTCAGTGGTCGGCAAGTGGCGACGCACAGCAAGACGGGCAGCAGCATCGCGAGTGGCCCACTGTGAGCGAACAGTGCTGTCAGCATCAGCAGTAGGGGCAGGAGAGGCACCAGACGTGAGATCGAACAGGGAGAGACCGTCTGTCCTATCGCACTGTAGGAAAAGCTGCAGATCATCGACCCAGACCTCAAAGTCGACAGCCCGACCCTCAGCATCAAAGGTACGAACACTAGGGGTAGCCATGACAGCAGCAGCAGTAGCAGGCTAGCAGTAAGATCAGCGCGCTGCCGCCCCTCGACGCAGGGGACGCAGGTAGGGGCAGGCCCCGGAGGTAGGGGAGGGAGAGACCGGGGGAGACCAGAGACAAGGACACGGGAGGTCATGCCTCCAAGACGAGGCAGGGAGGGGTGACCAAGGTGGTGGTGCCAAAGGAGAGTCTGGTGGGACAGGAGACGACACGAGCAGGGCGCAGACTCAGGAGAAGACCTGGACGCTGCAGCAAACACCTGACTCGACGCAGCTACCTGACCAGACGCAGTAACAAGAGGAGACTCAGTGGTCAGTGTGTACACGCTCGACCCCGGCTGACGGGTAAACGTGGCCAAGTGTCGGCCCGTCCGAGCACACGTATAGTGGGTCACCCGCTGACTCGCAGGTGTGAACTGGTGAACCGCCTGATCCTGCATATCAGCTCCACTCACCAAGTTCGTAGAGAACGAGGGGAGGTAGTGACCGGACAGAGTGCCAGAGGGGGCTGCCGGACACGATAAGACAGTGGAGAAGCTAGCAAGGACAAGACCCACAGAGGGGTCCGCCAGGGAGACCGCAACCGGCCAACTAAGCGGCGTAAGCGTGGTGCGGTCTCGGAAGAAGGAGCAGGAAGCACCCGAGTCAAGGGTGAAGGTGTGCAAGGCCTGAGCCGACGTAGTACCTGAGAGAGCAGACTCACCAGTACCTGGGGCAGCAGCCGTACTAGCACCTGGAGTAGCAGCCTCACCAGCACCTAGAGCAGCAGCCTCAATGCCCGGGTCAGGCGAACACACAGGTAATAGTCACCCTCATCACTAGCAGACACAGCATACATGGCAGCAAGAATAGCATCATAGTCAAGATCAAAGATAGCTACCCCAGACATAGACAGCTCTCCCCAGCGAGAGATCTCAGTGGCGTCAGGGAACTGATAACGCCAGGCGTCCGTCAGGCGGCCGAAGCAACCCTAGGAGGAGTGCGTGCCCCCGCACTGCTCACCAGCGCAGTCGCCTGTACGGGGGACGTAGGTGCAGGGACCAGCACCCCCACCCCGCTGACGCCCGGAGTACCACTCAAAAAGCTGTTGAGGGGACAGGGTCTCACGACCATGCTGCTGCTACTGGCGCGGACCACCACCGGAGCCACTCCTCTGCGCAGAGCCGTGACCAGCTCCACCGCCACCTCCGCCGCCTCCGCCACCTCCGCCGCCTCCGCCACCGCCGCCGCCTCCGCTCCCTCTGCCACCCCCGCTGCCTCCTCCGCCTCCACTGCTACCACCGACACCTCCACCCCCGCCACCACTCCCACCACCACCCCCACCCCCTCCACTGCCTCCACCACCACCTCCATCGCCCCCACTGCCCCCCCCACCGCCCTTGCCCCCCTTGCCCTTGCCGGTGCAGCGCTTCACGCTAGGGACAGACGCAGCGCCGACCGACTCGAAACCAACGAGGTAGGCCGCAGCAACAGAGGCAACAGAGGGCAAGAGGGGGGAGGGAGAACACCCCTCAAAGACGGGGGTGCGAGGGTCACCACGAGAGGCTCCTATAGCGACTATGCTCTTCTCTGCTGCTAGGAGGCGCTCCTCGAGGAGGTCAACGGTGAGTGTGGTGGGGCAAACTGAGAGGAAGTGGTCCCTGACTGAGCGAAGGGAGTCAGGGAGCCGGGTGACTATGTAGTAGAGGGTGATGTACATGGGGGGGGGGTTCTTGGCATAGAACTCAGTGGGAAGTGCAGCGCGGTAGCGAGTGTCACTAGTGCGAAGGTGCGTAATGAGGTCAGCGACTGTCGGAAAGGCAGCAAGGTCAGGGAACAGGTACGGCAGCATGAGGCGGCTAAGGGCAGCAGTGGCAGGGGAGGAGTAGCGTGTAACTACAGCATCGTACAAGGTCTTAGCACTCTTTTTCTGGCTAAAGTTTGCACGCTCAGTGGTCGGTAAGTGGCGACGCACAGCAAGACGTGCAGCAGCATCGCGCGTGGCCCATTGTGAGTGAACAGTGCTGTCAGCAGTAGTAGGCGGGGCAGGAGAGACACCAGAGGTGAGATCAAACAGTGAGAGTCCGTCCGCCCTATCGCACTGTAAGAACAGCTGGAGGTCATCGACCCAGACCTCAAAGTCTACAGCACGACCCTCAGTATCAAAGGTAAGGACACTGGGGGTAGCCATGACTGTAGTGGTCTATCAGGGAGTGAGCTCACCAATCCAAGGAAGTAGGGCCAGGGCGCGCCGGAAGGAAGGGCGGCTCGGCGGCTCGGCTGCTGGGCGGCTCGGCGGCTCGGCAGCTCGGCTGCTCGGCGGCTCGGCGGCTCGGCTGTTGGGCGGCTCGGCGGCTCGGCTGCTGTGCGGCTCGGCGGCGCGGCGGCTCGTCTACAGGGAGGCTCGGCGGCTCGGCTGCTGGGCGGCGCGGCGGCTCGGCTGCTGGGCGACTCGGCGGCTCGGCGGCTCGGCTGGTGGGCGCCTCGGCTGCTGGGCTACTGGCGGCGTCGAAGGGGCCGGTAGAGACGGCGACGGGGCCGTGAAGAGGCGGCAACGGGGCCGCTGGGGGTGGCTACCGGGCCGGTACGGCGGCGACGGGGCCGGCAGGGCGGCGACGGGGCCGCTGAGGTCGGCGACAGGGCCGGTAGGGTCGGTGACGGGGCCGTGTAGGGCGGCGATGGGGCCGCTTAGGGCGGCGACGGGGCTGCAGGGGTCGGCGACGGGGCCGATAGGGCGGCGACGGGGCCGCTGAGGGTGGCGACAGGGCCGCAAGGGTCGGCGACGGGGCCGATGGGGCGGCGACGGGGCCGCTTAGGGCGACGGGGCCGCAAGGGTCGGCGACGGGGCCGATGGGGCGGCGACGGGGCCGCTTAGGGCGGCGACGGGGCTGCTGAGGTCGGCGACGGGGCCGATGGGGCGGCGACGGGGCCGCTTAGGGCAGCGACGGGGCCGTAAGGGTCGGCAACGGGGCCGGATAGGGCGGCGACGGGGCCGTTTAGGGCGGCGACGGAGCGCAAGGGTCGGCGACGGGGCCTAGAGGGCGGCAACGGGGCCGTTTAGGGCGGCTACGGGGCCGCGAGGGTCGGCAACGGGGCCACTCAGGGCGGCGACGGGGCCGCTAGGGTCGGCTACGGGGCCGCTAGGGTCGGCAACGGGGCCGGCAGGGCGGCGACGTGGCCATGAGAGGGGCCACAAGGGGCCGCGAAAGGGGCCGCTAGGGGCCTGAGAAGGGCGCGACGGGCCGCTAAGGGCTAGGACGCGACGGGAGGGAGGGCACACGGGGCGCGACTCGGGCAGGAGAGGAGCACGCTCCGGGCAGAAAAAAAAGTTTAGTGGTGGACCCTTAGGAAGCGTTCCCACTAGGGAACCTGCTCTATACCCTGTGAGAATCTGACGAAGGAATGATTGCATTGAGCAGCATGAGGAGTACAAGTAAGAAACCCTTAAGTGTTGTACCCCATATTGACTACCCCACTACAGCCTAAACAGACTATAGCATATAAGTTCGACAGAGTCAAAGGTCGTTGACCTTTGACCTTCGCGTAACCTCCAACTGTTACTTTCTGTCAACCTCCTCGGTTGACTCGCTGTTGCTTCACTGTGATTCGCCTCGTTTGCAGTTTATTGTTTCGACACAACAGATGCTTTAAGTTACTTGTTTCCAACAGCTTATACCCTAAACTCAATCATAATCGCCTCCTTCAAAAATACGATTTTATTATAAGTGCGTATGCGCTACTATCCGGGGCCATACGATATCATGAAATGGTTACCTAGGATAAGCTCAAGACCTAGGCTTTCACATTTCATTCGATCACAAGCCCCCCCTTTCTCCAATCCCCCCTTCTCTCCCCCCTCCCTCCCCCCCCCCCCCCCCCCCCCCCCCCCCCCTCCGCAAGAAAAAAGCCAAACAAGTGTTGAGCCCCCATGGCGTGTATCTGGGGAAATAGGGCATATTAAAACTGATCCATGCTTATCAGTAGATTTACTTGTGAAAGAATACCTCGCTGGCCATGTACTACCGTATCACCCCGGATACGTGCGCAGGCCTATTAAAAGCGCACGCGCTTATATCCGATCCTCATTTATGAGCGCACCCCTTATAAAACCGTGATATATCAGCGCATGTGTAATTTTAAATTTAAATCCTTGGTAACGAATTTCTACTTTGCAGCGAGGCCACAACCATTTTCGCTTAGGTTGACTTCCGAGGACCTCACATCCTGCGCGTCCAGTCAGCACGAGCTGGCACGCCCTCAAAGTGAGGTGTTACACTGTACGTTGCCTCTGTGCGCCGGCAATGAATCGCCCGCGCGCGATCCTGATCTGTGACACCTTACAATTCCGATTCGATTGAAATCGCAGGGATGTGATGTACGATTTGGTGTTCTTAAATTATAAGTCTGTATTTGTCATTTTATAAGCGCATGCGCTTATATTTTTAAATCAATTATAAGCACACCCCCCCTAAAAACACTGATTTATCATAAGCGCAGGTGCGCTTATATCCGGGGTAATACGGTACATGAATACATAAAAAAGAAACACACACATGCACTCACATACACAAACACAGAAAAAAAAAAAAAAAAAAAAAACAGACCATAATACAGCAGAGGTCTAATGGTAAAAGCAGCAAGGATTCATCCAAGCAATTATATCTCTGGCACAGTATCCACTAAAGGGTGATTGACAAGGAACAGCTGCAGAGTTCAGCATACTGACACCATGGCTCCAAACTGGGGTTGCATTGGTATTGGAAGCATGCGCCTGCGGAGGGGTGCTCACCCATAGGAGGCACTCATGTGTATTGAGCAGCCACACAAAGCTGCAATCAAAAGGCAGCAATGAGAAGCATTGGAGTGGAGATATTAATTGACACAGCACATGCCGAAAGTGCATAGCAGTGCAAGCATTTAGACCAGTACACCCCTCGCAATAGAGAAGCTATAGATGTGCCCATACTTACACCATCAATGTTGCGCAGGGAATCGCGGAAGGAGATCCAGGGGTTGAGCCTGCAGAGGTCCACCATGGTGGCTCCATGGGATGTCGCCACCTTCGTGAAGTCCACCACTCGGCCGATCCGTATCTCCTTCACACATATTGGCTTGGTTTTGGCTGGGTTGCGCTCCACACAGAGAGCGCGGAACGCAAGGAGGCGAGAGGAGCAGCTAACACCGGGGTTGAGCTGCTGCAGGCTTTCCTCGGTGATGCTGAGAAACTGAGCCACGGACGAGCATGTGTCGGCCTGTGGGAGGGAAATCAAAGGGGAAAATGGTAGGGAGGGGGAGGGGAGGGGGGGTTAAGAAGAAGAGGTGGACAAGGGGGGTGAAGGAAGATGCAGCAACACAGAGGTAGTGGAACACAGAGGTAGGAGCAACATGTGAGACTCACTGGCTGGGTGTAGTAGAAGGCAGAGCAGGCTGGCAGAAGCTCTTTCACCACGAGCTCGTGACCCTGAGGAAGGAGAGCAGAGCAGTTGATACCCTGGAGGGTAAGGGGCAGATGGAGAGTGAAAGGGTGAGGGAGAGGGAGACAGTGGAGTAGAGGGACAGAGAGAGAGGATGAGAGAGGAAGAAGGTGAGCGAGAGGTGAGGTGGAAAGAGTGGGAGAGGGTGAGAGAGCAAGAGAGGGTGAAAGAGGGTGGAAGGGAGATATGGCACAGAATCAAGAAACGGCTTGACATGCTCAAAAGATGCACACAGGCTTGCAGGAATTGAGATGATATGGCGCAGCATGTGGCTGGTCTCACCGGGTTCATGTGGGTGAACTTTGAGACCTGGCGCATGCTGTGGGTTTCAAGGCACCTCCAATCAGACCCACGGGACTCACCTTGTTCATGGCGATGAACTGCTGCAGCGTGAGGCCATACATGCTGTACACGTCCTTGCACCTCCAGGTGCTGCCCGCGACTGTGATGGACGAAATGGGCTCCCAACCCTGATCTGCACACGCTCAACGGGAAGGGTGGTGAGGCCATGTACGTGGCCAGCTATTGGTGACAACAACACAGCGACACAATTTGATCCACGAAACACACAGCTTGAGTTGCCACGTGTAAAGTGTTCGCAACCACTATTGTCTGAAGCGTTGCCACAGTTGTAACCATGAGAGCACACGACAATTGTAACCATGAGAGCGCACCACAGTTGTTTGTAACCATGAGAGCGCACCACAGTTGTTTGTAACCATGAGAGCACACCACAGTTGTTTGTAACCATGAGAGCGCACCACAGTTGTTTGTAACCATGAGAGCACACCACAGTTGTTTGTAACCATGAGAGCGCACCACAGTTGTTTGTAACCATGAGAGCGCACCACAGCTGTTTGTAACCATTAGAGCGCACCACAGTTGTTTGTAACCATGAGAGCACACCACAGTTGCTTGTAACCATGAGAGCGCACCACAGGAGCGGCCATGAGAGCTTACCACAGTAGCTGCCATGGGAGCGGTGGTTGGGCAGACAGACACAGGTCCTGTCCTCGGTGCCGCGGTCGATGCACGTGCCCACCAAACACCCGTTGACTCTGTCGTAGCCACACACGCCGGCTGGCGGGTGAAACACACAAGGGGCAGAGAATAGCAGGCAGTGGAGTGGCAAGGCAAGGAGGATACGATTGGAGGATCCGTGGGGCAGGAAAGGGCAGAGAAGACGAGGAACATTGCTGCTGCCAGTACTGAAATGCTTTGATCAGGCAACGGTGCTTCCCAGGGGCACAGGCGATGCCAGCCCCAACACAGCCTCCTCGCGTGGGAACCGTATCGGTTTTGGCAAGAATGGAGGTGGCATAGCGAACGACCGTATTGGGGCTTACTGCTTGAACTCTCTTCGTCGGGGTACTCAGAAGGAGGTGTGGTGTCGTCGCTGGGAGGAGGTGTGGTGTCGTCGCTGGGAGGAGGTGTGGTGTCGTCGCTGGGAGGAGGTGTGGTGTCGTCGCTGGGAGGAGGTGTGGTGTCGTCGCTGGGAGGAGGTGTGGTGTCGTCGCTGGGAGGAGGTGTGGTGTCGTCGCTGGGAGGAGGTGTGGTGTCATCGCTGGGAGGAGGTGTGGTGTCGTCGCTGGGAGGAGGTGTGGTGTCGTCGCTGGGAGGAGGTGTGGTGTCGTCGCTGGGAGGAGGTGTGGTGTCGTCGCTGGGAGGAGGTGTGGTGTCGTCGCTGGGAGGAGGTGTGGTGTCGTCGCTGGGAGGAGGTGTGGTGTCGTCGCTGGGAGGAGGTGTGGTGTCGTCGCTGGGAGGAGGTGTGGTGTCGTCGCTGGGAGGAGGTGTGGTGTCGTCGCTGGGAGGTGGTGTGGTGTCGTCGCTGGGAGGAGGTGTGGTGTCGTCGCTGGGAGGTGGTGTGGTGTCGTCGCTGGGAGGAGGTGTAGCGTATCGGGCAGCCACACAAAGCTGCAATAGAAGTTGCACCAGTTGCAAAGGAACACACAGGAGTCAAGGAATGGAATCATTAGAAGCTACAAACCATGCTGGCAAATGGGAATTCATTGATCTTATCAAATATGACTTGTATATGAAATATGTATCCACCAGCAATGCACAATCAGCCACTACTCAGTCATTTGCCTTGAACTTACACCATCAATGTCGCGTAGGGAGTCGCGGAAGGAGATCCAGGGGTTGAGCCTGCAGAGATCCACCATGGTGGCTCCATGGGATGCCGCCACCTGCTTGAAGTCCACCACTCGGCTGATCTGTATCTCACTCTCACAGGTTGGCCTGCCCATGGCTGGGTCGCGCTCCACACAGAGAGAACGGAACGCAAGGAGGCGAGAGGAGCAGCTAACACCGGGGTTGAGCTGCTGCAGGCTTTCCTCGGTGATGCTGAGAAACTGAGCGACGGACGAGCACGTGTCGGCCTGTGGGAGGGAAATTAAAGGGGAAAATGGTAGGGAGGGGGAGGGGAGGGGGGGTTAAGAAGGAGAGGTGGTCAAAGGGGGTGAAGGAAGATGCAGCAACACAGAGGTAGTGGAACGCTAAGAACGCCGAGGTGCAAAAAGGGTCGAGTAGAACGTGGTCTTCCTGCTTGGGCGAAGGATGGTCAGGCGAAGAGTGAAGGGGGAAGAGGACGCACAGCACATGGTGGCATCCCCGCTATCCATACGTGATGCATGGACTGCTCTCATAGCAGGAGCAACATGTGAGACTCACCGGCTGGACGTAGTAGAAGGCAGAGCAGGCTGGCAGAAGCTCTTTCACCACGAGCTCGCGACCCTTAGGAAGGAGAGCGGAGCAGTCGATACCCTGGAGGGGAAGGGGCAGTGAGAGAGGGAGAGGGTGAGAGAGATGGAGACAGTGGAGCAGAGGGAGAGAGAGAGGGCGAGAGAGGGAGAGGTTGAGAGAGGAAGAGGGTGAGAGAGAGACGTGAGGTGGAAAGAGTATGAGGCGGAGGGGGTACAGAAACAATAATGGATCGAGATGCACAATTAAAGGCACACACACAGGCTTGCAGGAATGGAGATGGTATGGCTTGCACGCAGCATGTGGCAGGGCTCACCTTGTTCATATCGGTGAACTGCTGCAGCGTGAGGCCATACATGCTGTATACATCCTTGCACCTCCAGTCGCTGCCTTGGACTGTAATGGACGAAATGGGTTCCCAATCCTGATCTGCCATGGAAGAAAAAAGCACACCTTGAGTTTCAATGTGTGAACATATGTTTGCAGTATAGACCATTGTCAGGAGCGTTGCGAGCAGCGAGAGAGCTTACCACAGGAGCGGCCATGAGAGCTTACCACAGTAGCTGCCATGGGAGCGGTGGTTGGGCAGACAGACACAGGTCCTGTCCTCGGTGCCGCGGTCGATGCACGTGCCCACCAAACACCCGTTGACTCTGTCGTCGCCACACACGCCGGCTGGCGGGGGAAACACACATCAAGCAGAGGACGGCAAGAATGAAGTGGCAGGTAAGATACAATTGGGGGATCCGTGGGGCAGGAAAGGGCAGACTAAGGCGAGGAGCATCGCGGCTGCCGGTGCTTCCCAAGCGATGCCACCCCCAACATAACCTTTTTTTGCGTGGGAACCAGATCGGTTTTGGTGAGAATGGATAGTGGCATGGCGAAACGAACAACTGCATTGGGGCTTACAGCTTGAACTTTCTGCATCGGGATACTCGGAAGGAGCTTTGGTGTTGCTGCCAGCAGCTTTGGTGTTGCTGTCAGCAGCTTTGGTGTTGCTGTCAGCAGCTTTGGTGTTGCCGTCAGCAGCTTTGGTGTTGCCGTCAGCAGCTTTGGTGTTGCCGTCAGCAGCTTTGGTGTTGCCGTCAGCAGCTTTGGTGTTGCCGTCAGCAGCTTTGGTGTTGTCGTCAGCAGCTTTGGTGTTGCTGTCAGCAGCTTTGGTGTTGCCGCCAGGAGCTTTGGTGTTGCTGCCAGGAGCTTTGGCGTTGCTGTCAGCAGCTTTGGTGTTGCTGTCAGCAGCTTTGGTGTTGCTGTCAGCAGCTTTGTTGTTGCTGTCAGGAGCTCTGCTGCTGGTGGAGCCAGTGATGCAGCGGGCGGACTTGACTGCCTTGCGGAGGGGCTTGGACCTGCGCACGGGGAGAACCATGAGAGCAGGCCGCTGGTCAGAACGGGGGATGAAGGAATGGCGTTAAGAGCATAGAAGCAGCTAGATGGAGAACGAGGGGCTCACCTCTGCTTGCCTTGCACGAGGGGCTCACCTCTGCTTGCCTTGCACGACAGTGTCCACCGCCTTCCCCGTGCACTTGGGACTCTTGAAGAACTGTATCGCCGTGCAACCCGCCTCGCCTTCCTGCTGCCACGACACCTGCACTCTCCTCGTCCCGCCGCCGGCTGGAATGGCGGCACAGCGGAGCGCGTTGAAGGTGAGAGAGCGGCCGTTGATCTTCATCCGCGAGCCAACCACTTGGTCATCCTCGCTCGCCGCCTTGCTCGATGCCTTGCTCGATGCTGCGTCTGCTGCCTGCGATGATGCCCTCAGGGGACTCGCTGCAAGGATGGGAGCACGTGAAATGCGAAGACGAGGCGAGCGGGCGTGAGGTGCACTCAGTGCGCCGATTTGCACTCAGTCTCGTGTCCGTGAGGTGCATTTGAACGCGCGAGCAAGATGGCGATGCGAGGATGTGTACATGGGTGCATGAGCGCGTGCGCGCATAAATATGATGCAGCGTACCAACGGTGACGGCCATGACGACTCGTATGATCAGATGTAAGGTGGGTACACGGGGTGGAATGAGCGCACAAAGACAATGTGCCGTACCAGCGATGACGACTATAACGGCGAGCAGCGCGAGCACTGCCTTGCCCTTCCCCATGCTGCTGCCGCGTGCCGCGCGACCGACTCTTCGCCCGTGACGGCCGTACAGATGTCGAAGGGCTCGCGAGAGGACTCTCGGAGAAGATTTTGGCTGGAAAATAGCACGAAGATGGTGCAGCTACTCAATGAAAGCTGGAAGAGCGAGAAAGTTGTAAGATTTACAGCACCGGCAGGTTTGGTGCTAAATGCAGTTATGATAGTGAAGAGGGCAATCCCTCGCGGATCATAATATACGACAGCAGCTTCAGTGTGACCCGCAGAATGCGCGAGGCGGGGACCCCTGTGACTGGAGATGCACACCTTGCCCATCATGGGCGCCAAGCTTTGGGCTGTACTCATCGCTAGAAAGTAGTCGCAGAGAACGCGTTACGGAAACACTTCGGCCTGGCGGAGCCTCTGTGGGGTGGGATGCTAGCGAGTAATTTGCGGGGATTGAATTGGGTCATGAAAGATGCCATTCTCGCATCTTACGAGTGACTGAAATATCTTAATCTGGTGTGGAATGGTCTAAAGCGGTGAAAACCGAAAACCGTTTCGAACGCGGTAAGGTACCGCGTGAGGATCTCTAATCGAATAGAAAAGAGCCGCATTATTGAAAGTGAAGTCAAAGGAGACTCGCAATATTAACTGTTCCCACTTATGGTCGTGAATGCATTGGCTTCATAGTGCATACATACGACTTTAATTTCGAATTCCCCGTTACCGAACCTCTTCGATTTCAATTTCTTCGGTTTCAATTTCTTCAGTCCTGCATCAGCACGATGTGTGTGTGGCGTTCAACGCTAAATCATGGTACCATATTCCATTTAAGGAATGTCAATCCAACCACCCCCCCTACCCCCCAACCACCCACCCTACCCTCAACCCCCCCCCCCTCCCTCCCTCCTTCGACTACCCCGTCTTCCCCCTTCCCGTCAAACACCCCATCGTGGTCCCAAATAGCACCAAGCACGCCTTGCCACGCACCGTGCCGCACTCTGCCGCACGTGCCTGCAACGCCCTTCTGCCCGCCCAGCCGCGCTCTGTCACGCGAGCCTGCTGCGCCCTGCATGCCTGCCGCGCACTCTGCCACCACGCCTACTACGCACTCTGCAATTACGCCTGCTGCTGTGCCTGCCACGCGCCTACCGTGCGCTCTGGCTCAGCGCCTCTACATGTTGTCTCCTCCGCCTGTTGCTCTCCCCTCTCATCTTGCAGCTATGCCCCTGCTCACTTCTGTCATGGGGTTTGAGTTCGTCATGCGACTCAATGTGGAGGGGCGGGCAAGCGACTTACATGCATGGCTGCTCAATGCCAAGCTCCACCTGCAGAGGCAGTTCCAGGACGATGCCTACCTGTACGCCAACGTGTCATACCCTCCCCCGTCCTACTGCTCTTGCTGCTGGCACCACCTCGAAGGAGTAGAAGGTGCACCACAACGCCCAGTTTGCGTGATTGGTTTGGGTTTCCCCTTACCCTGCTGCGCAAATTGCTCTTCATCGCCTCCTGCCAACGACCGAGCGAGTGCACTTTCGCCGGGTCACGATAGCAAAGGAGTGCTGGGATGCAATTATTCCTCGCTACTCCAACCCCTCCTTTGCTACCCTAGGGCGCCTCATCATGCCTTTCCTCTTCCCTGACCTTCTTACCTTCTCTATTGCCGCCGACTCATTATCGACCTGCGCTCGCTAGACGCTAGCTTCCGCGTTGCGTGCACTGCTGACGACTTGCTGATCACACCTCCGCCCATGTATCTCAACCTGCACCTCCTCATGGACATCTTTCCTGACCGCATTGTCAGAACTATATTGTAGGCTGCTGTGGGGTAGACAATATGGGGTACAACTCTTTTAGGTTTTCATCCTTGTACCTACCTGCTTGCTAGTTCATTCACTTCCTTGTTTTTATTCTCACATGGTATTAGAGCATGTGAGAGCCGGGAGCCCCCTGCCGTCGTCGCGGCCCCGCCCTACAGCAGCTGCCGCGGAGCCGCCTACAGCAGCTGCCGCGGAGCCCCCTGCCGCCGTCGCGGCCCCGCCTTGCTGCAGCTGCCGCGGAGCCACCTGCAGCAGTCGCGCCCCCGCCCTGCAGTAGCTGCCGTGGAGCCCCCTGCCGTTGTTGCGGCCCCGCCCTGCAGCTGTCCCCGCCCCGCCGTCGTCGACGTCGTGCGCCTACCATGCTCGCCCAGCGAGCGACTGCCCTTCCCGCCACTGGTGAGCACTTGCCCTACCCGCGCTTCCCGCGCGCCTACCTTACTAGTGCGCTACCGCACTGGCCCGCCTACCTGCTTGCCGCGCCTGCCTGCGAGCCGAGCCGTGCTGTGTCGGATGCACGTCATTCTGAGTGCATGTCATCCTAACGTCCTGCCGAGTGCTCGTGCTATTTGTGCTTGCATGATTTGCATGAGCGTATGTCATTGTGCATGGCTGTTGGATATTATCATCTCTGTGTTTTCTCCAAGTTTGAATGCTTGACAATGCAGGAGAAATTCAGAGCTTTCCAACGATACCAGGATCGCCTTATGATCAAGATTGCCCAAGTTACAAGATTTCCAAGATTTGGATTTCTTATTACCTTTTGGGGTTATATCTAATTTGGGTGATTACTTGGGACATGACTATAAAGGGATCTTTGGTTGGGTGGTTAGGAAGCCAACTTTGACTTTTGGATTGGGGTGGCTAGAAGTTTCTAGCATGGGTTGCAAATGTTGCAACACCTAGGCAAAATCCAACTAGATTGGATTTTGCATGTGACACCTCAAGGACCTCATGATGAGGGTTGCATCCTTGCTGCTAGGAAGGTTCTTACCATCCTTCCCTAGCTCTTGGAGAACCCCTTCCCTCTCATGGTTCTCTTGGAGGTTCCCAACTCCAACTTTCTATGCCCTAATGCTTGTATTTCCTCCACCATTCTAGTCATGCGGCTGCTGGACGTTTTTACTTGGTTCTCACTCCATAAACAATCTTAACGAATGATTCAACTTGGAGATGGTAGCTAAGCCTAAGGCGCAACTTCCTACCGAGCGGATTTGCGTGTAGTTGAGTAATGAGTTCGTCGTAAGCTCTCAAAGTGACGGATCCTGAACAACAAGTGGTATCAGAGCGGGTAGTCGACTTTGAGACGACGAATCGTCGTTAATTCTCAACCAATGTTGTCAAGTGAGACCAGTTTCTGTCGAAATATTTTGTCATGTTTTATAATTGCTTGTAGTTGTAGTTAGTGTAGTTATGTAAACTTTTGTTGGTGGTGCACCTTATTGTGTTTCTATGCTATATGTACCCCTGAACCTATAGTGAAGCCCACCTTTTCACAATTTTCCTCTCAACTCACTCGACTCTCACCCTAGGGGAAAACCCGCTCGATACTAAGTTAGGGCCTAGGCTACTAAGCCTAGGCCCCACGTTTCTACTCTCTATTACCTACTATCTTGATATGGTATCAGAGCTGTTTTCGTCCTGGCCTGTGGGCCCGCGTTACTCTTCCGCTGCTGAGATTTTCCGGTCGCGCGCCTAGGGCGCGTGACGATTTTAGTTTTACCTTGTCCCGCCCACGGGCGTGTGACTCCTATCCTGCCCGTCGCGCGCCCCGTGGCACGCGACGGTGCCCTTTATCTGCCCATCGTACGCCCCGAGGCACACGATGGTGCCCTGCTCGTCGTGCGCCCCGAGGCACACGATCGGGCCCTTTTATCCTACCCGTCGTGCGCCCCGTGGCACTGGCCCGCGACGGGCCTCTCCGCCCCTGCACTCCCTGCTGCCGTCCCTGACCCATCTGCACCGACGCCTCTTCGCCGCTCTGTGGCTTTCTTCCTTCCCACCCCCCCCTTTCTCTTGTCTCCCTGCAGCCGTGGGGAGGAGGGTATGGGGGTGGAGGGTGTTGGAGCGTGGGGTCA